TCTTGGGGTATCTGCCCCTGAGCAAACACAAATAGTGTTATGGCAGGGTAAATAGAGACAACTGATAAACTGACTGGGCAGGAAAAAGTTAGGCTTACAGCCACCAGCCTTAGCCCCTGCTTGCCACAATTAGATGGAAGCCCCCACCAGAAAGCATCCAGCCCTGGTCTGCCACCAAGAACAACTAAGTTCTGGCCCTTCAGTTTGCCGCTATCAGTGGAAATCAGGATCAGTAACTATCAGTTCCAGCCTGGAGAGTTGCCCTCACAAAAAGTCTGTTGGATCACTAGTTCGCTGCTGGATCTACACCCCAACACAGTTTACCCTGTTGTTGTCAATGCTGGTCTTCCATAGCCGCCCAATCCTTCCAATTTGCGCCAGTGTAAGTGATCTTGGGAGACACTAGAGTCTACAGAAAGAAGAAAAGCTGACGTTAAGACCCCATGTAGCAGCTTCATTGAGGTCCTCATCCATGACAGGGTAGAACTGTATGGTAAAAGAGCTATTTTAGGTCAATCACATTCCATAAGTAACCCCTCTCCGAGGCTCTGTAGGTTAGTCTCCCAACGTTGTGCGACAGCAGAGACACACTTATACTTAGGCAAGGTAGGAAATACATGACGTATCAGAGTAAATTATTACACACCAAAGTCCAAGTAGATGATTTAATTAGAGTTGTTTTGTTTTGCTTTGAGTTACCTGCATGAGGAGAGCTGAGGGGTAATTTACAGGAATGGGGATGACTCAAAATCAGCAGTACCACAGAAAAGCCCATTCCAACATGGTTGACAACTGATACACCTCTGTATCTGTCTGTGCCGTTTGAAGATGACTTGAAAGGTCAGAGAGTAGCTGCAAGGCAACTCAGCTTAGCAGTCTCCTCCTGACAAGTCAGCTGGTTCCAATCTTTCACCAGTTGCTTACTGATTACACAACCTTGGTGAGGGACCTCCCATGTGTCTTGTACATTTCAGCCTTTCAAAGCATGAGAGAGTTTGATCAGCTACTCTCCTCTGCTGGAGGGAATATTTCATTCCGCGTAAGTTGCTAAAAAGCAAAATCAAACAAAAACAATCAAACAAACCAAAACACGAAGGTAAACTCATTGGTTTTCCAAGGGGGACTTGGGTGAAGTCACTTCCTTCGGTCGTCATCAAGATCTTCTCTGTTGTGAACTCGTTTGTTCACACGGTCCTAGGAAAAGTTGATGCGCCAGAGGTGCTGTCGTGTGACTTCTACTGGAGAGTCATGGACGGATATGCACCCCAGATATTGTGGGCCAGAGAAATGATTACACTCCATTCAAGCTTAGTGAACTAGTGAGCTGATAAGTGTTAGCTACAAGAGGATTGGAGAATGGCTATCTACAAGAATGTGAATGACTCAAAGGCTGGTGTGAACCAAAAAAGCTCATTCCCAAACTGCAAAGGCTTGTAAAAGCTGCATTCCTGGAGTTCCTGCCTGACTCACAAGCAGCTCTGTAGTTCAGAATCTCCTTCCAGCAGCAACTCTTAGGATTATGTAACCTCGGAGAGGAGCTTCATGGGGTCCTTAAGTCTCAGAAGCTTCAAAAGATTTAGAACTTTTCTTTCTTTTCCCAGTGTAGATAAGAACTTCTTTTCCCTCCAAGGAGAAATAGTTTACAAAGGAATCACTGTACAAAAGTAGTAACTTTTTACTACTTTTTACAAAAGTAGTTACTAGCACAAGCTAGTAACTGTCTCCTAGACACAAATGCATACATATGTCTCATATATGAAACATTTCTCATTTTAAAATTTCAAAATATTAAGGATTACCACAAAATTAAAGATATTTAAGATGACAGAAAATTATCCTGCATTGAGTATCCTAGCATATCAATACACATACTTGAATATGCTAAGGATGTTATGTATTTAGTTGGCTCTTATTCCAAACATTCATTTGTAAACTTTAGTTATGCACAAAAGCCGTAATATAAAAATATCAGAAGACTATACTTATCTGATAATTTATTTTTCATCAAAATATTTTTGTGTTTTATTTTTGTGTTATATTTATACACATGAAAAATCCAAATGAATTTTTTCCATAAAACTGACTAATTTTGGATGTGACTATTTCAGATTGTGTGATTATTCACAATATGCTTCAAAAATACTCTTTCTGGTTTTGTTTTTGTGGTTGTATTTTAATTACATTTCTCCCTTCCCTTACAAAAACCCTCCACCAACCCTTTAAATTTTTAGCCTCTTTATTCATTGGTTGTTACTGAATACATGCATGTATTTGTATATACATATATTTTCTCCAATATAATCTCTTGAGTTCATTTAATGTTATTTATATGTATGTTTTCAGAAATGACCATTTGGCACTGAAAAACCATGTGATGTGCTCTTCCATAGGGAGGACCAACTCTCCTGTTCCCAGTTTGACCCAGTGTCTGTAGTTCTTTGTGTATGGATGAGGTTTTGTAGTCTTCTCCTTGTCCAGTTTGGCATGTTCCTTGGTGTCCACCTTGTTTGCCTGACATCTGGGTGGTGGTCATGTTGGTGGGACTTTAGAGGTGACTTTAGCTTCTGACGTTACCAAGAGACATAACCTCAAAGCAAAGCCTTTGACCTTCTAACTCTTGGGATCTTTGTGTTCTTCTTTCACCTTGCTCTTTGAGTCTTAGGCGTTAGAATGTTTTGTAGATGTATTCATTGGGACTGGACTTCACCACTTTGCATTTTGGTTGCTTTTTGAAGTAATCCCCACTTGTTTCAAAGAGGAGTTGGCTTGGTAAGGGATGTGAAAGACCCCAGCCTCACCCTAAGTTAAACATAGCTAACTCCATTTTGTGAGACACCACTGTTTTGTAAAACTCTGAAGGCCAGATGAGAAACTGGAAAATTACTGAGAAACCTAGCTGTGTCACCCACTTGGGATATCTGCGGTCAGGCTGCCCCAGTCGAACTAAAAACAGTTTGTATTAATCACCCTCATGGATATCTGTGAGACTGTTTCAGTTAAGATAGAGAAAAACAAAATAACAGGTGGCGGGCCACGTCAAGGGGTCATCATAGCCCCCTTGACCACCCAGTTCCTGAAATCTTGGTGCCCCTGCCAAACTTTGACGCAAATCGTGGTCTCATGAAAATGTACCAATCAGCCCCCTGTAACCATGCTTCTCGCTTCTGTACCAGTGCTTCTGCTCTAAAACCCTATAAAAACCCCAGCTTCCTACCTAGGGGGTGCGGAAGTCTCCCGAATGACTTTTTGTCCCGGGTACCCGTGTATCAAAATAAAAGCCTCTTGCTGTTTGCATCCGAATGGACTCGTTGTTCCTTGGGAGGGGGTCTCTCTGACGGAAGATACCCTCCGGGGATCTTTCAGGATGAATATAATGAGAAATGTCCATAGATAGTTGTCAAGGGTTATGCAGATTTAGTACATCAGTTGTTGTAGATTCCCCTGCAATAACCATGATTTCACTCACAGTTAGCTGGTAAGCAGTTAGCTCGGTTTCCAATAGAAGGCATGGTATTCCTCTTGCTGAGAGTCTCTTAAGTCCAATAAAGGAGCAGTTGGTTACCAACAAGATATATATACCACAACTGGACCTCTAGGGTTAGTATGTAATTCTGGTTAGTGGTTCATGGGCATAACAACTGGGTAGGACTGTTAGTTGCCTCCCTCTTTTGGAATCTTGCACAGTGCCTTCTGGTACCATAAAAACTAGTCCTTTGGGAGGGAACATACAAGTCACTTCCATCTCTGAAGACTCTGAGCCTTAGTTCTTATTTCTTACCACACACGTGGTATCTTCAGAAATGGGAACTTACTTGTTACCTCTAGGAGTTAGCCAAGAGCACTGGCAATAGCTTCAATGTCTAAGGATCTCTTGGTCAGCCCTGGCCAACTGCTCAAATGAAGACTTGTCATAGTTGGAATGGGGGTTTGGTCAGGTGGTCTTTTGCTCTTGGAAGGAGCACAATCAGCCCAGAGAGAAAACATTTATCAAACTGTCTATATCTCTATCTACATTGACCTTGACCTCGACCTGACCTATAACTATATATGTATCAGTGTGTCTGTGAATACATCTCTATCTATCTATCTATCTATCTATCTATCTATCTATCTATCCTATATATTACTTATATCTATGTCTACTATATCTATCTGTATATATTTTGAGTTACTTGAATTACAGATTTTCCTAAAATGGCTTGATTCCATCTATATTGTCATTTTACCTATTTACCTCTTTTTATTTTTATTTTTATAATTTTTATTTTTTTTATATTAATCACAGGTTATTTACTTTGCATCCCAGCTGTAGCCCCTTCCCTCATTCCCTCCCAATCCCACCCTCCCTCCTTCATCTCCTCCCTGCCCCTTTCCAAATCCACTGATAGGGGAGGTCCTCCTCCCCTTTCATCTGACCCTAGCTTATCATGTATCTTCAGGACTGGCTGCAAAGTCCTCCTCTGTGGCCTAGCAAGGCTGCTCCTCCCTCGGGGGGGAGGGGAGATCAAAGAGCCAACCACTGAGTTCATGTCAGAAATAGTCCCTGTTCCCCTTACTAGGGTACCCACTTGGATACTGCACTACCATGTGCTACATCTGAGCACGGGTTCTAGGTTATATCCATAGATGGTCCTTGGCTGGAGAAACAGTCTCACAAAAGACCCCTGTGTCCAGATATATTTGGTCCTTATGGAGCTCCTGTCCTCTCCAGGTCATACTAACTCCCCCTTCTTTTTTTTTTTAAATTAAAGTTTTTTTTTCTTTATTAATTACACTTTACTCATTTTGCATCCCCCCCGTGGTCCTATTTACCTCTTTCTGCTGTATTTGCCTCCCTCTTTATTGCCTAAAAAGCTCCCCTCTCCCATTTTCCCCTGTGAGATCACTCATTGTTTTTCGTATTTACCCTCCTCCCACCTTCTTCCCCCTTTTCCTATCAGATTACTTGTTTCTATGAATTGATAATCTTTAAGATTTTTCATGCTGAAACTTGGAATTTATTAGGGATCCACGGTGTCCACATCCTTGGAGCAGCACCACAGAAACCGCAGCGCAACAAGAGCGGCTTTTCTCAGCTTACTGTTTCCCAGAATCAGAACAAATGTGTGGCTTATAGGAAAAGCTACTCCAGAAAAATAGTCAAATAAAAATATTAATTCCTCCATAAAGTCAAAGCTAAAAATTCCTATGGCAATATAGAGTAAGTATATCCCATACAGGAGCAGAAAGGCAAACCCAATTTGCAAGGCTTTCATGTGGGCCATGGTGCTAACATCTCTATGTCCTTTGGTCTTGAGTTTCATCTTCCTGTGATGCTTCCACAGTGAGAAGATGAGCATGAGAAAAGCTATCAGGGACACAGTGAAGGGTATGAAAGTGAACACTGAGTTGATGGGTAAGAAATTATTAGATAACTTGATGAGTAAGTAGGTTGTGGATGAGTTGATAAGTAAGAGAACTCTAGGAAAATCTGCTGAATCACTCAAACTATAAGAAATATTTTCTTTATACACATCAAACAAGAAATGATGACACATCTCTATAAATACAGTGTTTAAAATCAAGAAAATCAGAGATACCAGTAATATCAGTAAAACCACTTCTTTAACTCTCCACTTTAGGTAAAGAAAGAAAGAGTTAGAGAAGTTTGCTATCTTGAGAAAATAAAAGACACTGAGGCATGTGCTAAGCCAGATGCTGAAATGGTTGTTCACTGTCCAGAGAATCTCTGACACTGTAAGCATGCGTGAACTCATAAACAGATGTGGGCACAGCATGAATAACAACATAAAAACGAGCATGTACCACATGAAACTGAGTCTGGAAAGGGCTAGGGCAGTGAGAATCTGGTCTGCTGAAGAGAGCTTTCTTCTCTTGATCCAGTCCATGATATTCACCAGTGCTATGAATCCATTTCCTAAGGTTCCCATTATTATTTCTACAAATCCAATGATGGTAAAGGCAAGCAAAAACTTGTTGTCTGTTATCTCTGAGAACATGCTTCAATTTATAATATCACTGCTGCACTTAAAATGCTCTGGATATTTGTGGTTAAAACTTCAAAGTATTCATTCTTTAAAATTCCACATATACACAACTCACTAGGAAACATCTGGATTTCCCAAGACTTGATTCAAAATTTCTTCGTGAAAATATTTTTTCTTCTTTCCAAATAGTTCAACTCAGCTCCATTCAGACACTGTGTACCTTATATACAACAGTTTGTACTTTTCTGAAATTGAATGAAATGATGAATTCTCATGTGCTAACATACAAACAAAAGAATATTCATTTGCACTATTTTCACTTTTGCCTTATCTATACATGTTAGTCACACCACATGAGTTTTGAACAGTATTAAAAATTATAATTCATATAGAAGCTTAAAATTTATAAACTCATATGTGGGACTAAGGTAATGATTCATAAAGATTAAATAAATGGATGAAAATGTTTATTGTACACATAAAACTATGTAGATATTGTTCAAATTTCATCATACATAGCACCCCAATTGTCTAAAAAATCTTTTTGGAGATCACTGTTCCTATGTTCATGTCACAGAGATTATACTAGTCATTTTCTTTATACAAATTCATATGTGCAATCACCTACACACACACACACACAATACACACGCACAAGCACATATTCTTTGAAATTCATCCCTCTTCTATTTCCATTTCAAATAAAAATGGATTCAATTATCATGTTACTAAAAACATGAAAATTTTGCTGCATTCTATTTTCTTTACTGCTGAACTATAATTAAATCTAGAGCCTTACTCATGTTGGGCAAGTATTCTTACGGACAAGCTATATAGCTAGCCCCCTTTTTAATTTTATTGTGAGAAGGTCTCACTGAACTGCTTAGTCTGGTCATAAAATCACTCTGTAGTCCAGACTGAAAGTTGTGATGCTCACACCTCAGGCTTACAAGTAGCTAGAATTACAAACCCGGTTCCCCAAGCCACAGTTTCCATCATAGTTATTTGATATTGTTTTAAACAGAATTCCAAGTTATCATCACTCATTATAAAGCAAATATTGAGCAATCTTCGGGAAAATGTCACCATCTGTGAATGAGATACTTTTACATGGTCCCTGGATCTGACTTTAAGGTAAATGAAGTCCTCTGTTCAGGAAGAATCCTCCTCAATCTTACCTCTTCCTGTTCAAGTTGATACTGTTATTAACATCAAAGACCTGAAGTTTTCTATTTATCTTTCCTATCTACTACTAACATCTGCTCTGTAACTATTACTTTGGAAACCAAGATAGATGAAGTATGATATATAGACTGGAAAGTAAAAAGTACAAAGTACTGATTTAAGGAGTTATGAAACTAAAGAAGATAATATATCGTATGCTATCATATAACATAAAAACAAGCCTCTTTGTCACATATGGAAGGGAAATCTCGAGAAATTATTGTGAAAGATTGACTCTACATTTCTGTAAGTCCCCTAAAAGCACACTCTGCAAAGAACAAGAGTCCATATAAAGTTTAAAAACTGATAACTACACTTCAGTTAGGAGAGGCATATATTGAGAAGAAAATCAGGCCAGAATGGGCAAATTTTAAGAAGGTAAAAGTGAAAACATACTGTCAGCACAGAGGTGAGATTGTCTTTTGCTAGGTTTCAGTCAGTACAATTAAATACCTGAATTACTTCACTTCACAGGAAGGAGATTTTGGCTCGCAGTCCACGAAGTTTCAGCTCATGACCACTTGGCTCCATTGTTTTTGTGGTCTGTGGTAAGGCAGAACAGCAGAGCAGTAGTGGAGTCAAAAACCGTCCTGAGGCAACCAAGTGAAGAGTGAGAGGATAAAGCTGTGGTCCTGTTATCCCCCTTTGAGTACACGCCTCCAGCGACTTAACTTCCTTTCCCTAAGCTCCTCCTACTTAGAGGTTCCACCACTTTCTATACCATTTCCGATTAGTGACCCAGGCTGTAGTACATGGCCTTGCACGGTCATTTCACACAAATGTGTAATGGTTCTTCTGGCTTATCTCCTCCAGGTAAACAAGAGTATGCATTGAGAAGAAAAATGCAAATACAAGGGGACAACTGTGCCAAGCAGAAGCTGATGGGAGCACTTCTTGGGCTTTTTAGAAAAGGAGCTGAACTAAGTGAGGTCTTGCTACACTCAGCCCTGAGGTGTTGGTCCTGAAGCCCTACTGATAATATTACCTTTGACTCTGGATGGAAGCTCCTTAGATTTGTACTTGAACTGCAGTTCCTGGGTAAGGGCAGGCAGTATTTTCCAAACAAAGCAAGACAGCATTTGAGGAGAGCAATGACTTTATTGATCATAAAAACAGCATTTTATTAAGAAGCAGAAGTTATCAATGAGATTCACATTAACTGTGTCATTCTTGACAAGTTCTATATACTGACTATGCAAATGATAATTAATGTAGTGAAACATACATAATTTACTGAGTATCTGTATACATTGACATTTGTTTCTGAATTTATAATCCTATTCCTATTAATATGCTGTTACTATAATCTTTGAAAATGTTTTGTATAAAAATCATTATGACTGAAGAGAAAAAAGTAAGCTTACTATGTTCTTTTCTGCACGGGATCCCAAGAGTGTTGTTTTTAAATGTATCTTGTACTGTTAAAGACAAAAATACACTGTTTTACAGGAGAGATACAATCATAAAATATAAATATATCTAAATATATGAATCATAGTGAGACAAATGTGCGTAGTCATCTTATTGCCTTGTGAGGGACTATATATCTGTGCACCAGCAAAGAAAATATATGGTATCACATTAAGCAATGAGGTCTTCAGAATTGGTCATAAATTGATTAATTGAGCCCTGGGGTTCTGTTATGATTAGGGAGAACAGGAAAAACTAGTAAGAGTCAACCCCCAAACCCAGGAAATGGTAATATCCCAAAAAGCTAATCAGTTTTATTCATTGCTGCTTGTGTGTCAAAGTTTTTCTGATAAACACATTAAAAGAATTCTTCACAAGAATTGCAAGCTGTATTAACACGAGATGTCCAAAGACACGGTTAAGTGTTCACTTAACAGATGACGGTGTCCAGTGGACAGGATACTTAATCATATTCTCTGGGAGTAGCAGGCATGAGCTGTTGCATGACTTAGATATTTGAACTCAAGAGATTTTGTAGTTCACTAAATAGAATGGTAGTTTCCCAATGTCAGGTCCCCCTTTTCAAAAGCTTTGCCTCCTGTCCAACCCAAGGTACATCTAATGTATTTGTGTATTTTCCTTATTCTGGAATGTATAGTTGGAATTTGGCAGCTAGCAAACTTTCTCAGTGTGTGGAATGAAAGGGATTATTATTGTCAGCACCAAAACAAAGCAAAACAAAACAAAACAAAGCAAAACAAAAAAACAGAAACAACTTGAGGCCTATAAAATGCTTTAGTTCTACTACAGCCAATAATACATAGCCATTGCAATCTCCAAGGAATAAAACCGATTGTTACAACAACAGTTTTGAACATTACAGGAAACTGCGTTACATTCTTGTCATACTCATATTGGGTTAACCCATTTGGACTCTGTCACAGCAAGATGAAATACTGGATAAAATGTAGATTAGCACAGGTTTGCATTACTCAGGCAGATGCTCTCTCAGTATATTTACTGAGCAGACATCACCTCAGCACTGACTGTGTGACTTCTAAGTTGATAAACATCTGTTAAAAACGTCCATTCTCAAGAACTTCAGCTCATTTAGGTTGGGATTTGAAGAAAACGTTGCATTGCTTCTTATAGGTGGTATCACTTGAGTTGGCCCATCTTCTGATTGTGTTTGTGGGATTTTAACCCTGAGCTTGAACCAGGGACCCCTTGCATGCTAAGCACACTCTCAGAGTCGCACTTCCAGCACCCTGAACCAAGTCTGACAGTCCATGAAATGTCATACTAACTCAGTATATTAATTAAATAGTATTTTTATTATCATAAATCAGAAAAATTTTAAAATAACAGAGAATATAAAATAAAATCCAAATTCATAAGAGGAAAGTTACTACAGATTCCGTTGCAATCCAGAGGAATACATGGAAACCTTACACCCCACAAAATGGAAAAATCTAGAACAGTGCTTCTCAACTTTCCTGTAGAGGGATTTTAATCCAGCAGCATGGTTACTCTGGCTGTAATACAGACACATGTCTTTATTCCTTTGGCTGGAATACACACACACCCTAGCACATACCTTTAATCCCAAACAATGCAAATAAAGATATTTGTTAGAAGGACACAGTCATGTTTGAAAGTGATGTCTAATTGAGAGGCAAAGTAACAAATCAGAGGAAGATATGACAGGATAGGATATTCCCATCTCTCACAAGAACAGAGAGGAAAGAGGGGTGACTTAAAAGGGAATAGCATGCAGAGAAAGAGGAGGCAGTTTTACCAGGACAGTTTTACAGAGACAGTTTGTAGAGAGAACAAGATAGACCCAGGTGAAGACAGATGAGCCAGAGAATGAGAATGAGTCAGAAGGTTAGAACAGATTGCTAGAGTTAGTCTGAGGTCACCCAGAGCAAAAAGTCAGAAGCTGAGAGAAGCCAGGTAGAGTCAGTCAGCTAGGAGAAGAGTTTGAACCAGCCAGCCAGAGTTCAGAAAGAACAAGAAAAGCTGAGCTTATTCAGCAGTAAGTCTCAGAGGCTGAAAAATTTCTAGTCCTAGATTAGATTGTATGGAGGCTAGAAGCTTCCAGGACTAGGCCTAGATTAGCAGATGGAGGAAATAATCCTGCAACCCTTTAATACAATTTCTCATGTGGTGACCACAACCATACAATTATTAGTAATAATAATAGCTACTTCATAACTATAATTTTGCTACTGTTATGAATCATAATATAAATATCTGATATTCAGGCTATATGATATATGACCTCTGTGAAAAGGTCATTCAATCCCCAAAGAGGTTACAAACCAAAGTTTGAGAACAACTGATTTAGAAGAAGGGAATAAAAGCCTAAAAATATA